CGCCAATCACCACCAGCAGAAACTCAGTCAGGACTTTCAGAAGGAGTTCAACAATCTGGCGTCTCGCTTCAACCCAGCTGCTGCTGCCGCGGCCGCCGCTGCCGCTGCCGGCCTGACCTCTCTCTCCACGCCCACCATATCACCACTGTCGCCGCTGAACGCCGCCGTCAGTCGGCTCTTTCTGCAGAACAGCAACGTCAACAGCCTGCTGGGAAAGCGTTTCTCCGATCTGCAGTCTGCCGAGCAGCTTCTCCAGGCCTCTCGTTTTCTGCCGCTGCAGGCGGCGGCGCTGAACAGCGTCCTCAAGCACCAGCAACAGCAGCAACAGCAGCAGCAGTCCTCACCCTCGGGCAAGTCGAGCGGCGGTGCCAGCGGCAGTGGTGGATCTCTTTCCGAAGAGATGGAAATGGAGATGGCCGCTGCGGCAGCGGCGGCTGCTGCTGCTGCGGCTGCCGCCGGAGGTGATGCCGCCGCCCTGGCAAACATGCTGAGCCTGCAGCCGCAGTTCTACGGCAGCGAGGTGCCCGAACAGGAACGACCGATCGACCTGTCGGTGAAGAGGTTAGACGAGTACAAGTTGGAGTTGCAACTGCTCGCAGAGAGCGGCTCCAAGTGTTTGGGGAAGGCAGTGCCCGGAGACCACGACTCGGGTTTCTCGCCGAGCAGCAATGAGGACACGCACAACACTTCGCCGCTTGATCTGACGGCGCCTGCCAAGCGGGGCCGACCTGGTAGTGGCGGCAGCAGCAGAGTCCTCAGCGGCAGCTTTCATCACTCCCTGGTCAGTGGTGGTCGCAGCCACAACAATCACAGCAATCATCGCAGCCACCATCGCGGTGGACACTTGAGTGGTTCGGCAAACAGTCGCAACCACCACCACCGAGGCCTTCTCCACGATGAGGATGAAGATGAAGAGGAGGAGGAGGTTGCCGAAGAGGAAGATGAACACGTCGATGTGGAGGAGGATGAAGGGGATGAGATGGAGGACAACTCTGATGTGGAGGTGCACGACCAGTTGATGGACACCTCTTCCTCTGCTGCTGCTGATCGAGTGACCAAGACTGAGATTGAGTGTGCTCCGTAAGCAAAGATTGTACCGTACAAACAAGTCTTCATCCTTTTGCAAAACTATCAGCTACCCCTACCACTGCACTTGCAATTACGAATCTCTTTTCATAGATCCGACAAAATCAAAGTTTTATTCAACTTATCACACATTATGTGCTTCTCCTCTGCACAAACACCCACACACCTACACACACTGCAGTGAACTCCTGTGATGCTACCGGAGATGATGGTGAACTTCTGCCTTTCCTACTCCGGTACACCCTTCTTACTCGTAGTGTTTAGTTTAGAATGATTGTTCAACTACAATATCAGCTCTCACTCACTCACTCACTCTGGTTGTCCCTCACTTTCCAAAGCAAACACTTTTGCTTTCACTGTCCTTGACTGCTTTAGCGCACACCTACTTCTCCAGTTTATTTTCGCTGTACATAGGCATAATATCAGCACCACTCACACCCACACCCTTTTTCCACTGTTGTCATCATACTTCATATCCAACTTCCAGCCCTAGCCAATTGCACGCACAATCAAACAAAGCATTCCACAACATGCACAACTTAGAACTGTAGAATCATTCCACTTCACTTCACTCCACTGCACTCTCACGTGATAGCACAAATTTGATATCTCGAGCCTGCAAAATCTCGTTGCACTTACTTAATCTTTTTTCTCTCAAATTTTATCTCTCATTTTGCACACACCCCACACCTACCACAACACTATCATCTCCAATGTTATTACTTCCTTTCTTTTTTGTTGTTATTTTCACTTCTTTCTCCACTCATTCCTCTTTCTCTCAACGCATTCCTTTGTTACGCACACAAAACACGCTGATTCTCTCACATTCTCACACACCCCTCTTCATTCCTTCATAATCTCGTCTTTTATCTCTTCGCTTTTCTCTGTCCAATTATCGAATTTGCTCACCAAAAACAACACAGCTGACCACTTTCTCAGTGTCAACCTGTCGGCACTGAATTCTACTTCTACTTCACACGAATGCGCATCGAACCAGCAACAATTGCTAGTTTGTCCCTTTCTCTCTCTCAAATTGTAACTACTTCTCGAATTCTTTCTCTCTCTCTCACTTCCTTGTAAAAAGATACTATTACTGCTTAAAAGTTTTTGATACAATTTACATCTTCATTCTTAAATAAATAAAAGTCATGTAATAAAAAGAAGAAACTTATTTCTATTGCAATTCCTTACAGTCGTACAGTGGTCAAAGACAAAGCGTGAATGTGAATGTTATAGTAAATCGGTTAAGTAGAAAATGAAAGTCAATTACGGGTTGAAAAAGATTGAAAGTGATTTCAGGTTGAAACAGTGTATAATGGTGATTCAGAAGGGAACGGAAAGAGAGCAGAGTACAGTATTCAGTTCTCAATTGATGCTCCACTCGTCTAGGCACTTGAGCAAATCGTTGACGTCCTTTTCAATCTCCTCGTTGGTCTCTCTCGTCTCGAGTCGCTCTTTGAAGACGTCAATTTCCGCCCTCTTCTCACCACTGTTCAGCTTATCAAAGTAGATGCCCAGCATGATGGAGATCTTCGTTGACTCCAGCTTCAGGTTCACCGTTGGCAGTGTTTTCGAGTTCTTCGACATGAGGGCCAACTTTGACTTGGCTAGCTGCAGTGGCGTCCGTCCGCTGTTGTCGCCGATGTTGCAGTTGGCGCCGTTCTTCAGCAGCAGAATTACAATGTCCAGCTTGGAAGAGCACACGGCTAAATGCAATGGGCAATTGCCGTTCCCATCCTGCTGATTCGGATTGGCGCCGTGGTCCAGTAGGGCATAGGCTAGTTTATCAAAAAGTAAGAAAGAGGAAAATTGAAAACAAATATTTTAAATGCATCAACTTTTTGGCTCAAAGCATACCAATGGCAAAGTTGCCGTTGCAAGATGCGAAATGCAGCGCCGTTCGCTTGCGCTCATCAAATGCGTTCACATTGACACCTTTCTCCAAAGCGCGAACAACTGCTTCGTAATCGTTTGAGTTGGCTGCAGAGCGTAGTTGCTTTTCGGCTGTTTGTTTTTCAATGAAAATGTATTTGAAAATAGTGCAATGAAACGACAAAAGCAAAACTCTTCCGCATACCTGTGAGATGTTCGTAATGACTGATTCGATGCTTCCGCGCCTGCTTTATCATCTTCGGACAGAAGTCATGTTGAGCCAGGTTGCTTTGGTAAAATGAGTTCAAGTTGTTTATTGTGCCCTGGTCTACTCGCAAGTTGTATCCCAGCACTTGAACATTCAAGCTAGAGGTAGACGGTGTGTTGATGGGATCAGACTGCTCAACTGCAGCTGGCTGCTCTGGTGCGGTTGCTTGCAATGAAGTTGGTACAAAAGGTTGATGCTCACTAATTGAGTCAGTCAGGGTGTTTGCCTGAATTGCAACAAAAAACAAACAAGGATTAAAAAGCACGGATTATTTAGTTCAATCAAACCTGAACGGTGCTCGTCGTATCACGTTGGGCGCTGTTGCTCTGCGCTCTGGGTTGACTATCGTTCCAGTGGCTTCCCAGGTTGTTCCCACCACCGTAGAACTCGGGAGGATCAATCTGAATGAATACTGACTCGTTGTGATCCATTGCTTGTTCCGCAGGAGCTTCAATCGGTGGCGAGAGCACTCCGTCATCCTGCTCACCGTTCACATCTGCATCACGATGTCTCAGTGGTCGATGTGCCAGGAGCACCGGATCGGATGGCTCGTTGTCCGAGTCAACGCCGGAATCCACTTCGGACATCGGAAGTTTTGGCGCTGGAGTACAGAATAACCTCCTGGCGAAAGGCGCTACAGCAACTCCAGGGATTCTGATCCTGGACTGCTGCTACTCGTGCATTTTTTTTGTAAACATTGCGCACATACGCTTACGCGTTGAGTTTATCTAGACGCCTGGACATCTCATCAAAAGGACATTTCAACAAAAAACTTTTGAATAAAAATAACTTCGATTACAATCAATCCATTTTATTCTGTTGATTCTCATCTCGCATGTGTAACTACCAAAAATCGTATCATTGAATTGGAAGTAGCTGAAGGGGAGTAGGCTACTTCTTCTTGCTCTTGTTTTTTTTGGTACTAACTGACTTGCGTTTGCTGTTCCGGCTCTTCGACTTTGACTTTTGCTTGATCGTCAGCTTGCGACTACTGGTGTTCATCCTGTCCGCACCACCTCGGCAGAAAAAAAAGTAAATGAGAATGATGGCGCCGATGAGCACAGTGCCGCCTACAATGACGCCCACGATGACGCCCAGACTGGAGGACTCGTCATCGGTCGACACATGAGGGGCTAGTGGTGGGGGTGCAAAATGACAAACATGGATTAGGCAAAGAGAAGAGAGAGTCATTGCAAAGGAACACTTACGCAGTGGAACTGTGGGCGTAGCTTCAGCAGAAGTCGACGGCTTAGGNGCCCACGATGACGCCCAGACTGGAGGACTCGTCATCGGTCGACACATGAGGGGCTAGTGGTGGGGGTGCAAAATGACAAACATGGATTAGGCAAAGAGAAGAGAGAGAACATTGCAAAGGAACACATACGCAGTGGAACTGTGGGCGTAGCTTCAGCAGAAGTCGACGGCTTAGAGGGTGGCTTCGTGCTGACATCAGACATTGTGTTTGGGCGGCGGTTTACCAGAAAAAAGAGAATGCTCAAATGACAAAGCGGAGAAACACTTGGCCCACTCTAGTTGACATTGTTGAAAGTTCGAGCTTTTATTAATTAACCATAATCAATAGGTGTATGAGTGTGTGTAATACAATTGTAGAGACAGTGGGAAAGAAAGAGAGAGAGAGAGAGAGTAGATGGCAATCGATGGGAGATGAATTTAGCCAATTTCAGTATCACGAATGGATCAATGTAGTGGAATTAATAGCAGACAGAGAGGGTCCACAAGAATAAATGATGCCAAGTGATGCAGACAAAACAGTCTAGTCAGAATCGGATGCGCTAGATGCAGTCGGCGACGAAAGAATCTCCTCAGACTCGGAGCCTTTTCCTTTGCCCTTGGAAGAGTCACTGTCATTGTCGCTGCTGTCGCTGCGCTTTCTCTTTGTGGCTTTAGGCTTCTCTTTGGGCTTTTCCTTCGATTTCTTTTTCTTTTGCGAATCACCCTCATCAGAAGAGGAACTCGAGGAACTATCATCCGACTCAATGTACTCCTTGCTCTTAAAGCCACTCTGACTTTTGGTGGGCGAGCCGGACGATTTTTTCGAGTCTGACGACTTCTTGGCTTTCGACTTTGACGAGGAGGAAGAGGAAGATGCCTTTGAGGTAGACGCACCGCCGCCGTTGGCCTTCCACTCGGAAAGCAACTTTTCGTAGTTCTTCCGCTCCTTTGCCGCCAACTCCTCGTACTTGGCCTTATCTTTGACTTCCTTCCACAGCTCTCCGGCCTTCTTGGCAATGTCCGTCACCCCCAAACCTGGATTGTCCTTTTTGATCTGGTCACGGGCTTCCTTCATCCAAATGAAGTAGGCCGTTGAGGGCTTCTTTGGCTTTCCGTCGTCGTCTTTGCTGCTCTTTTTCTTTTTCTTTTCACTACTCTTGGCCTTTTTGACCTTTTTCTCCTTGTGTTTCTTCTTGTGCTTCTTCTCGCCCTCAGAGTCGCTGCCGCCGCCAGACGAGTCCGATGAATCATCCACTTCAGAGTCAAACTCCTCTGCCACGTCTTCCTCTTCGGCGCCCGGATTGAAATCATCGTCACTCTCGTCCGAGTCGCCCAGCTCTTCGCGAACACGGCCCTCCTCTCGGACTCGCTGCAGATAGGCATCAGGCTCATCGTCGTCCATGTCCGAGTCAACTAGGTCATCATCCTTGAAACTCTTCTTCTTCTTGTCGCCCTCAGTGCCGACGTTCTTCACGCGCAGGCCTTTAGTGGAGACAAAGTCGTAGAGCTTTGAGTACTCCTCCTTTTCAATGGAACTGAAGGTGTGCACCACACCGGCTTTGGTTTCAATTTCAAAATCGAAAGAACGCGTGGAGCCACCAGATCGAGCAAAGTTGATCGACTGAATTTCGTCAAATCGAATGTGAACAGGCGGTTTGTGTAGGTAAATGAAACCACGCTCCAGTGGGTACATCATGCCGTTTGAGGCTCGGTACGAGCAGCTGACCGCTGGGATATCTCGAGCAGAGTTGACGAATGTAGGGTCAGGCGTGGTGATCTTTCGCTGGATCAGCACTCGCATTAGCCTGGTGACAGTGTCGTACAACGGTCCAGACATTGATTTGCTCAGCTTTCCTTCGTACTTTTCTTTAATTTCGCTTTCTGAAAGGGCGAGCTCGACGGTGGTTTCCTCATCTCGGTTGAAAAGTAGAATGAGAAAGTGATACCGCGTCTGGCCTTGTTTGATCGGCGGGTCAAGGCTCATTACGAAGTACACAGAGCGGGTGTCCTTGTGAGGTAGCTGGAAAAGTCTCAACACCGATGAGATGGGAATTTTGTAGTCAAAAGTTTTGCCGTGCAATTGAATGAAGGTGGGAAAGAGTTTGATGTCATAGCGACCACGAGGAGTGAGACACTGCAACTCCTTGAAGATAGCAATGCATTCGCCGGTCTCTCGAATGATATTCGCCTTTTGGAGGACTTGTTCCATAAAAGCCTGCACTGGATCGATTCCGTCGATGGTGGGAATATGGAAACGCATCTCCATCAACGAGACTGAAGTGTCGTCATTTTGGTGAAACTCGAGAGTGACTTCATTCTTAGCAGTCGTAGTGTTGCTAACGTTAGTGAGTGGTATCTCAAAGGCTCTTTCGTTCTTCTTCACATCAAAGTTTAGCACTGATCCCTCAAACGAGGTAGTGCCCCAGTTCCAGCCTCTGATCGAGGCATCCTGTGTTTCAAGGGAAGTTGAGTAGCTGCTGTTGATAAACTTTTCGACTTTCTCCTTCTCACTTTCTTTAAATCCGCCGTAACGGAAGACTTGGCCGCTCTTCATCATTATGCGGATTCCGAAGCTGTCGCCTAATCGTTGCCAGCTGATCTTTTTAAAATCATTTGAATTGAGCGTATCAATCTTTCCAGTTTTGTGGTTCTTAAAGATGATCTGCGTTTCGGCCAGCTTTAGTCGACCAGAAGTCTGCAAGATGGAGAAAAATGCACAAGTGAGAATCAATGCCAGGTGGTAAAAAAATCCGAAAAAACTTACCAGACCGCCACGATCCTCCTTAAGTGCTTTTGGGTACTCGAGAAAGTCCATGATGGCTGGTGTCAACAAGTAGAAGATGGAAAATGATGGAAAACTGGCGCCGGCGATGATCACAAACACAAAGTCGCTCACGTTTTGGAAACGCAAAAATAGAGGCGCGATTTTGCGAGAGTAGAAAGCCAATTTTGAGTCGCCTGCGACCGTAAAGTTGCAATTCTCACCGAACTAGCTGGCTCTACTGTGTAAGGTAAACTTTTACGTGCGGAGCCGACCCAAAAATCTGTGCTCTAGCTTAAACTGCCCGCCACAGAAGACGTTACGGGTTTGTTTTGGGTCAATTTGGAGCCGCTGATCGGCTCACTGACAGTTGTCCACCTTTTGCTCCATTTTATCTTCTCCACCAGCTGATCTGGTGCACCAGAAAAATCGCCATTGTTTAAGATGAGCTCCGGATACGCCTACTACTTCGTCATCGTCGGCAAGTCTGATAATCCACTCTTCGAGTTGGAGTACAGCACCAAAGGCGGCGACCACAACTTTGACCACCGCTACCTGACGCAGTTTGTGGCCCACGCAACGCTGGATCTGGTAGATGAGCACATCTGGATCACGCCACACATGTACCTGAAAGGCGTCGACAAGTTCAACGAGTGGTTCGTGACGGCCTTCGTCGGCGGCAACTCGCGTGTCCGGTTTCTCCTCCTGCATGACGCCTCGAAGATCGAGGACAGCAACATTCGGAACTTCTTCCAGGAGATGTACGAGCTGTACACCAAGTTCGCCCTCAATCCACTGTACGTTCACCATACGCCCATCAAGTCAAAGCTGTTCGACAAGAAGGCCTACAACATTGCCAAGAGGTACCTTCCCTAACTAAACAGTGTTCCGTTTTCCTTGTTGAGTTATCTCTTTCAACCTCTATTTTAATTTATATACTGTATTAAAAATCGTAATTTTGTGTAAGAACTTGGACAGGTATTTGAGGTGAAAGATAATGACAAAGTAAAGAAAATCTGTGAGTTATAAATTAAAAGTAAGTACGTGAATGATTAGTTTTTCAGTAAAAGTCTCTTGAACTCGTCGACAGAGTATGGACGGACAGCGTCATTCTCCCAGGCGCGAATGCCTCCCAGCACTTTGTTGATTTGTTCGCAAAGCTGCAGTATGCTGCTTTTGCTTGAGGAAGAAATGAAGAGCCTAAAAACGAAAGATGATGATTAGCGACACTATTAGCAACACTATTTTTACAAAGCTTGTACCTCTCAGGAACAGACTTGCTGATCTTGCCTCCCTGGACGAGCTTCTGAGCATTAGAAACTGGCGGTGGCTTGAGCGTGACCAAGGCAATGGTGTTCACTCGCATACAAATCTCTCGATCTTCGCCTTTCAATATGGACACAGTCGGGTTGATGCAGTGCTTCAGATTGATCACGCCCAACGGCGGCGAGTCGCTCTCAGTTGAGGTCTCCGGAAAGCGCCAGTACTTGAGCTGATTGCCAGAGATGACCACGCGGCGCAAGTTCCAAAAGGAAGTTTTCGGGTCCTGAATGTCAAAGCAGCCTTCCACTGTGAGGCGGTGCTGCACAGACAGCGTCTGCTCCTGAATGCTCAGGTAGTTGTCAATGGGAATGTGCAGCTTAGGGCCAACAGCAGGGTACTCAAATCGGTACAGCAACGGCTTCTGGCGAAGCAAAGGCAGCGTCAACTTGACGACGCCCACCAAATTGAAACTGCTGCTGCTACCGCCAGCGGTCAGCTTTGAGGGCAGTGGCGAGTTGGTGGCCAGCGCAGCCTTCTCTGCCTTCTTCAGCGAGCTGGTGCCAAACTTGATGCGAAATGAGCGGAAACCGGCCTCCTTCTTCGGAGCATTGTGGGTCTGCAGCTCCATGGCGTACAGGTGAATGCCCACCTCAAAGTCGTCCTTCAGGTCCTTGCAGTAGGCCTTAAACTTGAACTCCAGACTGTCCTTGTCGGCAGACTTGGAGGTGTCCAGCAGCTCGGACACGTACACTTGCGGGCCATTGATGACTAGGCAGATGAAGAAGTATGTGGAAGCTGAAAGAAAAGGAAAACAAAAAGTTAGCCAAACACAAAACATAACTAACAAATAAAGAAACGTACCTTTTCCCTTAGCACGCAGTTCGACAAACTCTTTGCGCAGTGGAACGGACAAGTTGGAAATCTTTAGCAAGCCCCTGCTGGGAATACTCTGACTGATGTACCTGTCGGGATTGACTTGCAGTCGCTTCAGCCGCTCAATCTCTCCTTTGCAGGCTTTGCGCTTCTCCTCTGTACCGAGATAGAGTGTTAGGCTGGATGTGATAAAAGTATTGATAGAAGCTGACATACCTGCAATGAGAAGAAGTCGCTCGGCCTCAACTCTGCCTTCCATCAGCTCCGAATCGGTGTTAGTCGCCTGGTAGGTAAGGTTCAGCGCCTGACTCGCCTGGCTGAAGATTCGGTTGTGCTCTGAGATGTCGTTCTTCAAGGCGACAATGCGATTGTGCACACCCCGAAGGAACTCCTCCCGTGCATTTCTTTGCTCTTCTTCGGCCTGCTGATGCTTCAGTCTGTCGTCTGTAGGAGCAGGTGAGTAGGCGTTGCCAATTTCGGCCAGTTCTTTAGCTTTCTTTTCTCGGCGGTAGAAGCTGATGGTTCGCAGTTGTGGAGCCTCATCTGTGTTTGCAGGTTCAGCATTTGGCTGAGGCGGGTTTTTGGGTTGCTGAAAAGCTTCCACTGACGATTGACTGTCAGACTTGAGGTCAACTCTAGTTGAGCTTCGCTGAAGTGCCTGGTCAGTTTCGAGAGCAGAGAAGGTAATGTCGCCAACTGTCTCATCGTTAAACTCTGATGATACGGCACTTTGGGAAATTGAGTAGTTGTCAATACTTTCCAGTGCCTTGTCAAGTGAATCAGTCACTGAAACTGTGGACACTTTCAGTACGTCACTGGACTCTTCTTCCTCTGCGAGTGGCTCGTCCTCCTCTTTCTTTGACGCTGTGCTGGAGTCGGTGCAAATCGACATGTAGTCAGTATCATTTTGATGTTGATCCTCAACAACCACATTGGTGGGGCTACTTTTCAGAGTGGCTACATCTTCGTCATGTTGCTCAATAACGCTTTTCAGTCTTTTGGCATCACCTTCATCCGATCTGGTTGGCGACAACTCCATTACTCGACGTTGACCTCCTCGATACACGTTTTTTGAAGCCTCCGATTCTTCGCGAATTGCCTTTTCAAACAAACGTCTTTTCTCTCGAAGTGACAACATCTCCGGTGCAACCTCCTTCGGCTTTGATTGCTCCTCCTCGGCCTTGTTCTCAAATAGCTTCTTTAAATCGGCAACACTGGTCTTTTTCATTGGGGCAGGGTTAGCTGGCTTGGAGACAACAGCCGGTGTAGGCGGCTGAATCTTTTTGACAACTTTTTCTGGGCTTTGTGGCTTGTTTGGTGTGTCAAACTGCTCAATGAATTTGACAATCTTTGTCTTGTTGACCAGAATCGGAGTGTTAATAGTCGGGCACTGAGAAGAAGGCTGTTTAGAAGGAGTGCTCGGCTTGGACACGTCATCATCCTCGTGAATTGGATAGTAGAACCGCGTCAGGTTGTTCAGGCGATCCTTGAGACCAACTTTGGGCTTTTCTACCTCCTCTGTTGCGGGGGCAATGTTGACTTTGTTTTGAGTGAGCACTTTTGTTCCTTCGGTTTCGTCATGGTAAAGCTCAGTCAGTCGACAGAGGCGCTTATTCAGTCGGGTGGTAGTGGCAAACTTGGCCGGACTCTCGTGAACATCAGGCTCATCCTGAACAGGCAGCACGGGCTCGCGGACATTAAGCAACATCGAAATGGACTTTCGCACATGTCGATCCTTGTCATCGTTTGGCATGTTGCTCAACAAGAGACTGTCATCATCGTCACTGAGGCTTCCCTCACTGGAGCTTTTGTTGTTTTCATTTTCGCCTAAAGCCTCAGTGTCCTCATCGTTTTCCAATCTGTCAAGCTGTTCCTTGCGGGCCCTGACACGAGCTAGCATCGCCTGTAAGGTAATCAAGTGTGAGGAAAGTGGCAGCTATAGAGTTGAATCATAGTCACTTACCGCTGTAAAGGAATCTAATTCCGTGTTGGTTTCGTCCATCGTCGTGATCAGGAGAAGTGATGACGCAAAATAGATTAGAGATGAAAACGAGGTGACAAACAAAACGGACAGTGAAACACTTCACAACCGTCAACACGGCGCAAAAAGACCGCCAGCTATAAGCTCCGCCTGATAAAAATTCAAAACGACTGCTTAAAAGGGGAGGAGTTTCTGATGTTCAGGCATAGCATAGCTTAGCACTGGTCAGAGGTGCAACTGTGTTAGTGCTTCATACTCCGCCCTCTGCTTTCTCTGGAAAAAAAATAATTTTTTAACGACCCAAAAGCGAAATCAGACTCTTCCACGAAAGGGCATTTTTACAAAATCTTCATGTCGCATTTTAAATTCAAACACATTTCGTTGACTTATCTTTGTGGTGACAAGTCTCCAGATCAACAGTTCGCGCTCTTTCACATGACATCTTTTTATTTGTCTTCAAATCAATATCATAGTTTGCCCATTTATCAACCAGGAACATGGATCAAAATTACCCAAGTGAACTTGCCAAAAAATTGAAGCAATGCTTTACCGAGTTTCAATATAAAGAGTCAAAAGTTTCTGAGCTAGCCTCCATCCAGACTAAGCTGTTGCTTCAACAAAATCCGGAAATTCCTTTTGGCAATGAAGTCAGGTACTGTTGTTTTTATAAGATTTTTTTGTGTAAACTAATTTGTCGTTTTTTGCAGTTCTGACACTGTATCTCAGTTGACAAAAATGTTCTGTGATCTTGGCTCAGCGAGTTTTGAGAGTGAAAAGGTGAAACTCAAGTTAAATTTGGCGAAAGCAGACCAACATGTAAATACTCTTCGTGGACTGCTACAAAAGAAGTGCTCCCAAGTCCTTCTTAGTGAAAGCGAGAAAGAGAAGATACTAAATACCATTTATTGCTACAAAGAGGAGCTGAAAGAGCTTCAACGCAAAAGTGAGCATAAAACCCCTTTATTGGACCACAATGAACAGATGCAAAATCAGTTCTGCGAGAAGCTTGAAGAGGAGAATGAAGCACTTGAAAAGACAATTGACCAGCTCAAAAAGTACGAAATCTTTAAGGGCATCACCAGTAATGCCCAACTAGAGAGAGCCACCATAGAAAAAGAAATCCTGCAGAAGCAATACTTTGAAATTAAAAGTCCACCTGCAACCAGTCGTTTGAGTTTTTCCTTTGATGAATCAATCCAATAATTTCATTAAGTAAACGCAGGACACTCCGAGTGCTATTTTAAAGATATCTGCTATCAAAGCGTTGTTAAACTTGAAGCATTATTCTTTGTGATCTCTATGTCTCCATCAGATGCCAGCACACTCCAAGGGATGTTCAATTTTTCATGTACTATTTATTTTTTCCTAATGTGAACACTTTGGCAATGTGTTAGTGCTAGTAAAATCTGAAGTTTTTTTATCCTTGTGAGTATATTGCCGAGCTGAAATATCTTTGCGGTTTTCTAGGACGTGTCTTCAAATGCGCTTTTGAGGTCCTCGATAATTCGATATGTTGGCGGGTGATCGGACATCAGCAACACTAGTGAAGCCGGTTAGTGGAAATGGAAGGAGAGAAGAAGGATGCTGCAGTATTGGCACCACATTTCTGTTCCCGTGTCCAGCCAGTGCAATGCCTCTCTCTCTTGCTTTGCCCCCACTTTTTCTTCCTTCCCTTCTTCATTCACTCGTCACCACTAATCGCCGGGCAAACAGACACACGGACAAGGAGAAAGAGAGAAAGAGAGAGAAAGACATACTTCGACATCGATCGGCGGTCACTCGTTTTTAGGTTGCAGCCAGGGCAGCATGAGCAGCAACGAGTGCAGCCGACATTCCATCCTCGCCGGATGACGGGTTACCGGCAATGCAAATCAACGGTGGAGGGAGAAGGAGCACAGTCGCTGCTAGGAGCTGCAGAAAGAGCGATGAGCCGTCGCCGTCGATTTACCGGTTCACTACTGCCGCTGC